GGGCTGAGCGCTGTGGCTAGGACAGACTTGGGAAGTTGCCACTTTAAAAAATACCCTTTTGAAGTTGCTGCTTGGGTTAAAGCCTTTCGGAAAGTATTTAGATATTTTGAAAATAATAATAATATTGGTTTTGTAATTTGACTATTGAAAATTAATATTGATATTATTATGATAATTCAAAGAGCTCGGCATTTAGATAGAATTTAAATGTATTTTTTTTTCTTTGTTGATATTTTAAGTTAAAAAGCTTTTAGAAAATTACTTATTTTACTATTTCTGCATCTTAATTTTATTTATGAATACAGATAAATGTATTAAAGGTGAAAATAATTTAGAAAAAAATATAGGCCACCTAAAATTTCCCAGATGAAACAGTCGTCAAATTCTCATTTTTTTATCATTTGATCAATTAGAAGTTTGGTTCAATTTGACACATCTGTTTCTTCTTGTTAAATTAATATTTTGATATATTCAAAACAAGAACAGAAAGTTCTAATAGCATTACCAAGATTTTTGTTCCTTTTGGGAACACTGAATGAGTAGCAAGAAGCAGTTGAAATACAATTTTTTTTTTGGTTCAAGATAGAAATTTACAAAGTTCAAACACTTCAGTGTCCGAATTTAATGAACTTGAGCTTTGCTTAAATCTGCCATAAACCAGTTTCAATTGAGAGCTGGCTTAAATCTTGAAAAATTGTATACAATATTAAGTGGAACCAACCATATTTGAGCTGCAGCTGAATTTTAAGCCGCGGCTCAAATTCTTTAAATTCGGTCTCTAGTTATTATTCCACCACTGAAAATAAATAAAAAAATTGATTTTCCCTTTTTATCTTTTACACTTCAAAACAGAGTCACAGTTTCTAAAAGAAAAAAGAATTGAGATGCTTATCATGATGTTTCGTTGGTTAATTTTAAGTTATCTATACCAAGTGCATGTTAATGTATTCAGGGTATTTTTTGTCAGTGGTATATATTCTTCTTGCAATGGTTTTCTAATATTTGGAAGTAAAAATGGGAAATAAACTTGTTTTTGTATGCTTCCCAAAATTTATTTACTGTCCCCCAGTTCAGCAATAGAAAAATCTTTAAGATTCTTAATAAGGGGGGATATCCATTAGTCTATATTTATCTATTCATCTATATTTATCTATTCGTCTATATTCATCTATTCATCTGTATTCATCTATTCATCCATATTTATCTATTTATCTATATTTATCTATTCATCTATATTCATTTATTCATCTATATTCATCTATTCATCTATATTTATCTACTCATCTATATTCTTCTATTCGTCTATATTTATCTATTCATCTATATTTATCTATTCATCTATGTTTATCTATTCGTATATATTTATCTATTCATCTATATTCATCTATTCATCTATATTCATCTATTCATCTATATTTATCTATTCATCTATATTCATCTATTCGTCTATATTTATCTATTCATCTATATTTATCTAGTCATCTACATTTATCTATTCGTATATATTTATCTATTCATCTATATTTATCTATTCATCTATATTCATCTATTCATCTATTCATCTATATTCATCTATTCATCTATATTTATATATTCATCTATATTCGTCTATATTTATCTATTCATCTATATTTATCTATTCATTTATATTTATCTATTCGTATATATTTATCTATTCATCTATATTCATCTATTCATCTATATTCATCTATTCATCTATAGTTATCTATTCATCTATATTTATCTATTCATTTATATTCATCTATTCATCTATATTCATCAATTCATCTGTATTTATCTATTCATCTATATTCATCTATTCGTCTACATTCATCTATTCGTCTATATTCATCTATTCATCTATATTAATCTATTCGTCTATATTCATCTATTCATCTATATTCATCTATTCATCTATATTCATATATTCATCTATTCGTCTATAAATTTATTTTTGTTTAGTTTGTTTCTGGGAGTTTCTCATATAATCACCTGTGTACACGGGGACTGGAAGGAATGTTTACATTTTTATATTTATAAATTTTATTTGAATTCAAAATATTTGTCTGTTTGATTAAATATCCAATAAAAGTCCAAATTAACCGATCAGGCTTAATTTGTAAATCACAAGACCCCAGGAAAGGAAGTGCGGTCAAAATTTAAGTTTTTTAGTATCTTAACATTTTGGAAATCCAATAATTATATTTATTATGAACATTTATTTTCAATCGATGCCAAAAGTTTGTTCTGGTTATTATTGGATAATTCTTACCCTAAGGGTTATAAGATTAGCTGTGTTCCTAATAACAATGTGCTTTATGTACAGTGCATGAATATTTATGTTCGTAAATGAGTGTTATTTTGAAGTCCTAATAAAAAAGAATAATTTACAATTAATCAGACGACTTAACAATCTAATTTTACAATTATGATTGATGAAACAATAATTACAAAATTTCCCTAGTCCTGCCATTTTCAAATTATGGTCTGCTTTTTTTGAGTATTTAAAATTACCAGAGATTATGACTGTATGCAAGTAAACAAGCGGATATAGGTGTGTACTGATTTCTCCCCACCGGCGACCGTGGTTTTTATTCTTTTTCTACTATTTGAGGTATGTACACGAGGACACTGTACACTTAGTGTACACAATAATAATCTAGTGGATTTTTTAAAATCAATTATTATTTAACTAAAATCTGACGGATAGTAACGAAATTGTAAGGTCTTAACAAGATCAACATAATTTCTTAAAGAGAGTTATATTTTCATATGAAAAATTAACCTTCATATCCTTCATTTTGTTTTTTGCAAGGATATCTATCACTGGACCTATTTTTAGTGCATAAGTTTAAATGCAATGCGATGCAGTATTGGATGTATAAATGCAAGGATTAACTAGTTAATTTCTAATTAATTAGGTTCAGGGATATTTATCTTTTACATACAAATAAAATATTACAATAGCAAAAAGAATGAACAGCCAAAAAATTGTAATAACGCTCTTGTTGTTAAGTGAATAATTAAATAAATTAGTAAGTGAATGAATTCATTAACCGATGAATGTATAAACCAACAAATGAATAGATAATGAAATGATAAAAAGATAAAATGAATGAAAAAAAAACAATTTTTACAATTTTTGTAAGGTTATTGTTTTAAGAACATTTACATGTATTTATTTCAGTTATTTTGTACAAAAAATCATTTTTAAAATCATAAATGAAAAAAATAATGAATAAATGAGAGAAAAAATTCAATGAAATAAATGCGTAAATGAGTTAATAAATCAATCAATATAAAATCTGTCTGTTTGTTTATTGACTGATAAACATCATAACAGCTGAACCAATCAGGCCCAAATTTTTTGTGGGACCACACATGATCCAAATCAATAAATCAATTAATCAATTAAAAATTAAATAAATTAATTCCTGAATGAAAGGACGAATAAATAATTGAATAAAAAAAAATTAATCAATTAAAAAAAATTAAAAACTGAATTTGTGAATGAAAGGATGAATAAATAATTGAATAAAAAATAAATCAATGAATCAATTAAAAATTAAATAAATGAATTCATGAATGAAAGAACCAATAAATAATTAAATAACAAATAAATCAATGAATTAATTAAAAATTTAATAAATGAATTCATGAATGAAAGAACCAATAAATAATTAAATAACAAATAAATCAATTAAAAAAATTTAAAAAATTAAATAAATGAATTTGTGAATGAAAGGATGAATAACTAATTGAATAAAAAATAAATTAATGAATCAAATAAAAATTTAATAAATGAATTAATGAATTATTTTCCAGGGATTACTCTTTGCTTTGTTTACTTCTATAATGTTTGGGACTCAGGTACTTGAAAGGGACTGTAAGCGTAATTTGAAATTACCCTTCATGCAAAGATGGCAAAGTGCAAATCACAGCAGAACTATTAAAAGCTTTGTCTAATCAACCATGAATTAGTGTCAATGTTGAAAACAAATTATTTTTTATCATGGTTTGTTTTCAAACGTGACTTGTGCATTTCTGCTGCAGGAAACCATGTAGTAATTATCTGAATTAAATACTTTAAAACCTATTAAAATGACAACATCTTCCACATTATTGATCAGATATCAGTTTCAAGGGTACCAGTGTGAATCAGGCATTGTCATCCTTGCATGGAGTGTTACTTGAAATGAAGCTTACAGTCCCCTAAAGTTAAAAACACTTAACACTGTATTTATAATACCAAAGATTTTATACAATTTCATCACTTGTTTTGTAGTTGTTGAACTTAAAAGGTTTCACCCGAAATTTATAAAATTCTTGAAAACCTTTTATCTCCTTCTCTCACAGATGTTTTTTAACTTCGGTTAGTTATGGTTGTTAGAATTAAAGATTATGTACAGTACAATATTGTTCACAGGGAATGTATTATGTCAAAGTTGCAACTTTTCAAGCCTATTTACCCAAGTGCCAACTTCCAAAATGTGCAATTTCCCAACAGGCAACTTCCCAACTCTGTCCTAGCCGCAGCGCTAGGCCCCCAGCCTGTTCTAGCTGTTGTGCTCAGCTCTCCATCCCATTGCAACCTGCGGCGCCTCAGAGGGCCTAACCTAACCTTTAGGAAATTACCTCCCGGGAAATTGCACATTTTGGAAGTTGCCGCTTGGGAAAATATCTTTGGGAAAGTACATAACACCTATTATTTATCCTTATTTATCTGACCTTTTGTTCTAGGCATCAATGGGGGGTTAAGCTATGGTTGAGCATGATAGAACAATTTATTGTATTTATAGAAATATTTATGAATTAAGGTTCTTTAAAATTTTCTTCTTTGTTTTCGTAGAATTCAAATAGATGTTGTATAGGGTGATGAAGTGTTGTATTTGGAAGGGGGGGGTCTGGGGGTTTTTAAAAATTGTGGGCGTTTTATATGAAAATGAAGAGGGAAGGGGAGGGTTAGCATGTAAAAAAGAGGGTAAGTTTAAGGAGGGCATGAGTTGAGGGGTATATATTAGTTTTGAAACATTGCTAGAATAACCACAAATCTTAAACTTGAGTGTTGTGTAATCTCATATTTGAAACAGAATATTTATGCAAAGTTTAGACAGACAAACTTACTAACAGACTGGACTGGCAGACACTCTGTTAGACAGACAGACAAGTTAAGGGAAAGATAGACAATTCAGTGATAGACAGAGCAAAATAGTGATAGAAAGAAGAACATTAAACAATTAAACAAAAGCCATAAAACTAACCAAACAAATAACAAAAATTTTATAAAACAAAATAAAGAAAAAGAAGAAGAAAAAATGGCTAAATTAATAGGACAATAAAACATACGGTTAAAATGAGAAATTAAAATGAGAAATCAATAGAAAACTATAAGGATTGATGAGTAGAACACTAAAATCATGGATGGATTGGCATAGAAAAATATAATGGTGGAACAATATTGGATTATGTTATGATGAAATCATAAAATGGTTAAACATTAAAATGAAAGAATTCATCATTATTTATAATGTAGGTATCGGCTATCTGGTATGATGAAACTGGTATAGAAGCATTGAAGAAAGAGGAGGCCAGGTATTTTGTACTTCATATCAAAACATTTGTATCCAATGTTAAAACAGTTGTACCCATGGTAAGCAGTTGAACCCCATGTCAAAACAAGTGTGCTCAATATTTTTAACAGGTGATTCCCATGTATAAACTGTTGTACCCAATGTAAAAACAAGTTAACCCCATGTCAAAACAGGTGTACCCCATGTTAAAACAAGTAAACTCAGTGTAAAAAAAGTTGTACCCCATGTCAAAGCAGTTTTACCTCATGTTAAAACAGGTGAACCCCATGTTAAAACAGTTGTACCCCATGTCAAAACAGGTGAACCACTTGTCAAAACAGAAGTACCCCATGTCAAAACAGGTGAACCACTTGTCAAAACAGGTGTACCCTATGTCAAAACAGTTGTACCCCATGTCAAAACAGTTGTACCCCATGTCAAAACAGGTGAACCCCATGTTAAAACAGTTGTACCCCATGTCAAAACAGGTGAACCCCATGTTAAAACAGTTGTACCCCATGTCAAAACAGTTGTACCCTATGTCAAAACAGGTGAACCACATGTCAAAACAGTTGTACTCCATGTCAAAACAGTTGTACTCCATGTCAAACAGTTGTACCCCATGTCAAAATTAAAGTGGTATATTTTCAAGAATTTCCTCTAAACGACAATTTATTTCCTTATTTATGCTTTTAAAGGTGGGTGCGCAGAAGCAGGTGGAAATCTATTCAAGCAGTTTTTGGCAGATTTAGTCTTGAATGGTTTTCACCATTTACACCTCTACGCAGTCCAACCAAACAGCATGGGTACATGTTCTCTGTATAGTGTACACTGTACAATAATTAAAATATACAGCCCACCCTAAACGCATGGGTACATATGTACATTGTACATTGTAAACTATTTAACAAATGTCCTTATATGCTGTCAATTTAAAACAATTGTGTAAGGTTTTCTATTTTTACGAATTATCCCCCCCCCTCTCCCTTTTTTTAAGACCTTGGAAGAAAAATGAAAAGTTAGGTACAAAAGGCAAGTTTTTTCATCCTTTTTATACTTTTTACCCAAAAATCATTTTCCTTTAACATACATAACTCCTGGGGAAGAAAATGATTTTCATAAGAGGGGGGGTGGGGATTTTTCAAGAAAATATATACACAGCTGCAATATGGATACATGTTCTCTATCCAGTTGTACAGGTGTACAACTAACATACCTCTACTCAGTTCAACCAAACAATATTGTACAGTGGTATGATGCAGCTGTATGGTCTTTAAATGAACATGCACTATGTTCATTTCATATATTCATATTTCATGTGTGGCTTTAAATCAATGTTTAATATTGTGTTTGTCACTATACATAGAACTGGTGAATTGTGCACTGAACTGAACAGTGGAAACTGTAAACCAGGAGTATAAATTAAACATAGTACAGTGTGCCATGTACAGTTTTCATGTATTAACTTTTTCTGTACTCGGCATGTACATTTATAATCTACCATTCCAGCCAAATTTCAATCCGTTAATATACTCATTTTATTTAGAAAAAGTAACTAATAAATCATCACTTATGTACATTGTACATGATAAACTCTCTTTATCCTTGTTATTACTTATTTTTATTCTAATGAATGTTTTTTTTTAAATTTGAAGTGAGAAGTATCATTAATAACCTACTGTTTTATGTGATTGAAAAATGTGTTGGTTTCAACAGATGTCTATAGTTTCATCTCTGATGTGCATATTAATGTTAAGTGTTAAGGCTTATTCAAATTTGTGTCAGGTTTTTCCCAATGCCGACTTCCCAAGTGTCAATTTCCTTAGTGACAACTTCCCTAATGTCCATTTTCCGTAGCAGCAACTTCCCAATGGTTAGGTTAGGCCTTCTGAGGTGCCGTGACTGCATTGGGTTTCCCAGTGCTGTGTCTAGGATGGGCTAGGGGGCTGAGCGCTGTGGCTAGGATGGGCTAGGGGGCAGAACGTTGTGTCTAGGATGGGTTAGGGGGCTGAGCGCTGTGGCTAGGATCATAGATAAAGATAGATTGCGCATAAGACGACATTTTTCATCTTGAAAGATATAAATGNGTTGTTATGACATTGAGTACTTGTGGTGTACATGCGTTATGTAGAGAGAAATTTAAGCTAGTTTAGTCCTTCTCATGTCCTTCTTCAGTTCTCGTCAATATGATATATTGCTCAGTGAAATATTGTTCAAATTGTTTCATTCCCGGAGTTATTTTACACTCTATTCTATGAAATCCATTAAAACACCAAACCACCCCGCTTATCATTGAAGTACACTTTGACCCATAGAAGAATGAGTTCGCGGACTGTACAATTCTTGTTGATTTTGCGTACATAAGCTTTCTATTTTATTTATTTATCTATGGCCAGGGGGCTAAGCGTTGTGGCTAGGATGGGCTAGGGGGCTGAGCGCTGGGTAGGTAGTAAAGATTTGTCAAGCAAATAAATATACATGTAAATATTATTTCTAGATGTTAAAATATTTACTAAATAACTGTGATTATAGATAAATAAATAAATAAATAAATGATAATTTTTATGAATGTTTTTAGTTTTAAAATTGTACTGTTATGTTTGAATCTACAGAAAAAATAATTATTAGATAACGGTTAGTAGCAATACTTTGTTAGTTTTGTATCTGTTTCACAAATTTCTAAATTTTTAATGATTTGTCCTTACACTTATCCAAAAATAATATGATTCAGAGGATACATTCAAGATAAAAAGAATAATAATTAACAATAAACCTGTGATAGAGTGGTCTTCTGTATGTTGGGGAAAATTTCTGAACTAAAGCATACTGTAAAATATTCAAAATTCAAATCTCTGTAAAATTAAAATGTCTGAATTTCGATTATTATCGGGAATGAATCTTCAGAAATCTTTATTTCCAAACATTTAAAACTTTTCTATTGGATACCAATACAGGGTTATTCAGAAACCTCCTTCAATCCTTTGCTTTACAACACTGTTTAAGTATTTAGTTAAGGGTATGGAATTGGATGATGTAATTTCTTTGGTTCTGAATAGACATTAAACTTTCAGTGAGGAGACCTGTTTGGATTCAAAAGATAATTTTAGGTCCATAGCATGTGCCTTTTAATGTCTGAATGGGTTTTAATTTCACATTATGTCATTAAAAAATCGTTGACAGTCCCTTAAGTAAGTAATGTTGTAATAAATAAATAGCTTCATTTGTTATCCTTAGAATTTTTTCTTTATTTTTCACAAAATCTTTGAAAATTATTTTCTCTTAAATAAGTAGATTTTCTTGAAATTTAAGTTTGCAATCCAAAATAAAAGTTGGATAAACTCAGCTAAACTGCTAATATTATTGTATAATTAAAAATTTATTCTACTGCAAACATAATTGAGTCAAAGAAGATGTGAATTTAGAAGAAAAACAAGGACAAATTTCAGTAATGATTCTTTATAAGCAATTCCCTCACCCCCTTGGAATATGGAGACTTTCTAAACGTTCTGCAAAAGACTTCAATATTTATATATTTATATAAGCATGCTCTTTAGTTACCCCATCTCCCCTAATCTTGATCTGAGTTCTTTAATACAAGCTTTTATATAAATACAATAAAATCGACTTTTTTATTAAAGGGAGTGACCGGCTATGTAAGGTAGTTAAACTGAGTATGCAGCGTTGTGGAAAACTTCTTTCGGATTCATTTGAGACATATAAAACTTTGTAAATATCTGTAAATCCAGAGTTAAGCGCAAATTCGACGTTCAAAACTCCTACTTTGGGAATGGATACTTTTTCAGAATTAGTTTTTTTAAATTATTAAATTACGACTAAATAAAATGTAAAAAAGTTCTACATAAACTACAGACGTCATGTTTAGGAACATGTTGAGAAAATAAAAATTAATCTTGTCATCAAAAATAAGTAATCTTGTTCAATTACTAGTTTCTATGTTCTCATTATTCACAAAGATTTTCTGCAGATTTTCTAGAATTATTATTGAAAAGACGACATTTCAAGAATTTGAAGAAATCTGCTAATAAATTTAAAGAAAATAAGAAATTCAAAATGATAATGAAAACGAAATAATTTTTTCAAATTACAAGTTAACAAAGAGAAGCGCTTAATTTACAGATTCTCTTCGTTTCTATGTTTAAATGTATCCACGATGCTGAAAGCAATCTAAGTAGAAATCAAAAGTAGTATTTATTGTTTTGATTTAAACAAGGACTACTGAAGAGTGGCATGTTTTACAATAAACCTTTGTTTGATGATGTACAAAGAATATTTCCCTGTTTAGATTTGCTGTTAGCCTTTATGTCTAGAAAAAAATGGATTTCTCCATTGTTGATAATGATAAAAGAATCAAACATGTTCCTCTATAAATGTACATCTTTAAGTGTTGCAGTACCAACTCCCAGTAAATCCTATAAGGTTTTTTTTTCTCTTGAATAGACCTGATTTCTTCCTCAATTCAATTCAAGAGGTGTTTAAGTATCTCTGCTCTGTTTGAGCACTTCAATCAATGTGACATAACAACCCCAAAGAGGGAGGGGGTGCTTTGCCGTCACGAACCCCAGAAAATCAAATCCGAGCCGCAATTCATGGTCTTCCGATCACTTCAACATGAAATCTATGCTCCAACATTTTACTAAACAGTCTTATTCTAGTATGTCTTTAAAAATCTGTCTCGCGCAAAAATATATTTGTTACAATAAAATGTAATTTCTCAAAATATTATAAACCCTTATAGTTATTGAAGGACCACAATGTTTATAAAGCCTTTTATGTTTCGGATCCGGTATTTCACCTTTGTTTCATGTAAATAATGAATTCCGGTCAGTCTTTGCCGCTAATTTACAAAGGGATCTCTAATTGGATTATAAGATAAGAATATTTATATAGATAGATAGGTTCTGCCGCCGATGCAATCTCTATTGGTTCTTCATACTCACAAAGCTCATGAGTGAGCTCTGATTTGAATAGATGCTACCAGAAAGTTGAAATAAGGGTGATTGTTACCAGAAAGTCGAAACAAGAATGATTGCTATCAGAAAGTTGAACAAGTGTGATTGTTACCAGAAAGATTAAACAAGGGTTATTGCTACCAGAAAGTTGAAACCAAGGTGATTGCTGCCATAAAGTTAAAACAAGGGTGATTGCTACCGGAAAGTTGAAATAATGCTGATTGCTACCAGAAAGTTGAAACCAAGGTGATTGCTACCAGAAAGTTAAAACAAGGGTGATTGCTACCAGAAAGTTAAAACAAGGGTGATTGCTACCAGAAAGTTGAAACAAGGGTGATTGCTACCAGAATTAAAAGTTAAAACTAAGGTGATTGCTACCGGAAAGTTGAGATAAGGGTGATTGCTACCGGAAAGTTGAAATAAGGATAATAGCTTTCAGAAAGTTGAAATAAGGATAATAGCTATCAGAAAGTTGAAACAAGAATGATTGCTACCAGAAAGTTGAAACAAGAATGATAGCTATCAGAAAGTTGAAATAAGGGTGATTGCTACCAGAAAGTTGAAACAAGTATGATTGCTATCAGAAAGTTGAAACAAGAATGATTGCTACCAGAAAGTTTAAATAAGGATGATTGCTACCAGAAAGATGAAACTAGGGTGATTGCTACCAGAAATTCGAAACCAAGGTGATTGCTACCAGAAAGTTTAAATTAGGATGATTGTTACCAGAAATATGAAACTAGGGTGATTGCTACCAGAAATTTGAAACCAAGGTGATTGCTATCAGAAAGTTGAAACCAGGGTGATTTGCATTAAATTATACGCTGTGCTTCATTAAGATCAAGCCTATTTAAGTTTCTTGTGAATATTCAGTAAACCATGCTTAAACTTGTATAATATACATGCAGGGTGAATATTCGGTAAACCATGCTTAAACTTGTATAATCTACATGCAGGGTGAATATTCAGTAAACCATGCTTAAACTTGTATAATATACATGCAGGGTGAATATTCAGTAAACCATGCTTAAACTTGTATAATCTACATGCAGGGTGACCCAAAAAAATGCTCTTATCTTGTCTGTTCTTGTCTTTACTCTGTTCTTGTCTAATGTTGTCTTTGTTACTTTATTTTCTAGCCTTGTCTTTGCTCAATTATCTTGTATAATCTTGTCTTAGCTCTTATCTTGTCTATTATTGTCTTTGCTCTTATCTTGTCTTTTTGTGTTCGCTCTTATCTTGTCTATTATTGACTTTGCTTTTATCTTGTCTATTATTGTCTTTGTTCTTATCTTGTCTATTATTGTCTTTGCTCTTATCTTGTCTTTTTGTGTTTGCTCTTATCTTGTCTATTATTGACTTTGCTTTTATCTTGTCTATCTTAATTGGTTAATTTTCAAATTTGTGTAGGAAATGGTTTGTGGTAGAAATGGTTTGTGAGGAAACATTTCTTTTAGGAAACATTTTGTGAGGAAACATTTCTTGTAGGAAACGTTTTGTGGGGAAAAATTATTCCGCATTATTGTTGTTTTTGCTCCCTCCTATTTAAAAATAAGAAAATTGAAAATCCGGCGGGAATATCAAAATATGTTTTGATGGATGATTTTGAACTTTTAAAATTCCAACTAAAGGAATGGTAGTTCTCAATTTAAAAAAATTATTTTTAAATAAATATAGGAGACAAAAAATAACTTTTAAAAATTTAATGCAAAATGTATTCACTTTGTTTCAAAATAAGGGTAGATTGGATCATTTTCCCCTTTTTGAAAAACGAAATGGTCGTTTCAAAACAATAATTTTTAAAACTATATTTTTTTTAAAGTTCGTTTAAGACGACCGTTTGTTAACGACATTTTTTGGTCGAAAAATCCTTAGATCAGAAATCCTTTAAGTCAGAAAACATTCAAGTTATTTCTCTTGATAAAAAAAAAACATTTTTAACAACATTCATTAGCTTATCTTCATAAAAAAAGATAGAAATTAGTTGTCATAAAACTCATTGACAGTAGAGGAAAAATGAAAGGGGGTAAAGGATGAAACCTGAGTATCTCAGGCGTTGAACAATACATAGAAGACATCAATCTGATGTTTCTGTCTCTAGAAATTGATATAAAACTGTGTCAAATTTATAAGAAAATTCATAGATATGCAATTTTGTATAAAAGTTGTAGTATTAAACAAATCATATTCCACCAATATAAAACCAATTTTGAAAACGACGATATCCCACAGAAACCTGAGAATCTCAGGTTTACTCCTGTTATAATTAGTTAATTTTTTGACAAATGATTTTTTTCATCTTGATGTGAATAATATTTACCCCTCTATAGACAACACTGCAAAACTCTAGGAGTGCATAAGATTGCCATAATATACCCTGAATACTAAACCTGGTTGTAGCCAATATTTCTCTGAATAAAGATTTATATTGGAATCCATTTCAAAACTGGAATATCGAAAGTCTGTCCAATAAAATATGAAATACAGTGTAGAATAGTAATTAACAACAGCAGATATGATTTCAGATAGTACAGTGAACTGCAGACTCATATTTCAATTTAATTTTAAGATATTCGTAAAACTTTTTGCCTTCTAACAGCATCAAATAGATACACTTAAGATTTCTTAAATTCTATTTTCCCATTCGACAGTTTTTAAGTGTTTCACGGTTTGGAAAAATATAACTTTAAACGCATCTCTATTTCGATAAGAATATAAGACACAAAATCAACTCTAAACAATCAAATATGCAATATGTAAAGATCACGGGCAGCCGTAGTACATTTGAATTTCCGAGCCGGGTCAACCTTTCCGGTCCCAGTTTGTACTGTACCTAGCTATATGGACAGGACTAGCCGGTGCAACAAGGTCGACGCGGTCAGACTTCATGCTTCATAGGTTCAATTTACTTTTACTAAAGAGGCAGAGGTGCGTGAGATGGCTCTGCCTGATTTGCAATTGGTATACTTGTAACCGTTATCAGATCAAAAATGTTGACTTGAACTAAAACAGTTTCAAGAAACAAAAAGATTGATATCTCATTCCTACTTGATCAGACAAAGCTTTTATGGGAACCTTTGTAAACCTAGTATTGCCATCTTTGCATGGAGGGTTACCTTTAATAACGTTTACAGTCCCTTTACCTTTATAAAAAAAGTTTGCATTTAGAAAAAATTGTGATACAAGTAATACCTTCTTTCCCAAGTTCAGTTCTCCAGGGGTCGCGGGATGATGCTTGGGAGACCCCTGTTGTCGATCAGAAGAATCAGCTTCATGTGGATCAGTTGTATTCCCCTCCCTTTCCAATCCTTTCATGTCTTCTCCTTAATTCCTTATTCTAATTTAACACAATATAAAGAATGTTGAACAGAAGATTGGTGGGAACTATGAAAAGGGGGAATACACATCTTGCAAATGGCATTGAAAGGGCTCCCAAGGGCCATTGACATTTCAAGCTGTTAGAAGAAATCGCCGAGTCATTCCATCCTTCCAAGTTCAGTACTCCAAGGGTCGCGGGACCCGTGCATACTACATCGCAATCATTAGAGGTTTGGTTTACCACAGACCCCCTGATAGTTACAAAGTAATTTGCGAGGCATATGCCACCGGTCGTAGAACAAGGTCAAGAAATAGCCTTTCTAATTAAACAAGTCATGTCAATGGGTGCACAGACAGACCCTGCCACTGAGCTACAGTGGCTTGTAGAAATTATTATTAAATTAGTCCTACTGTAAAAGACCCATTTTGTTCATTATTTTCATTTGTTTAGAAAAATTTTAAATCGGCTTGTTTTCAAAATCATCGTTCATTTTTTATCCACTTGTTTAATTAAATTGTTCTTTCAGAAAAAAAACTTATTCCAAAGTTTGTTTGCAAATCGTTGAATAAGTAACTGTAAGCCTTTTTATTTATTTTTCAATTCTGAAATTAATAACCTTACTTTGTTTAAAATCCTTAGCATCTCATGGTTAACTAAACTTCAAAGAGGGTGGTGGAGAAAAAAGATGCATAAATTGCATATTTTATTGAACATCTATCCTTTTTAAAAACATTTTTCAAAATCCACTTTTTAATATACTATTCTTATTCTTCTATAAGCTGTAACTTTATGATTAAAAATGTACTAACAATCCACCACCAATTAATTTAGAATGCATAACTAAAAAAACTATACAATTAAAGATAAGGTTTAAAGAAAAAGTATACAAATTCAATAAAAGCCAAAAAGAAGGATATTTTAGTCTCCATAGCTCTAGTTAAAACAATTTTTCTGATTTATTCTTATTTTTCCACCCTTCCAATTATGGTCACTGTGAATTGTTAAAATAAATAAATCAACAAGAAATAATTTTAATAGGTTATTATAATGCTTTATAACCCTTATCACCCTTTAATTGATACAATCCTAAAGCATGTTGAGAACTGTTAACTTAAACAAGTAAATATTAAAAAATCAGTTGACCATGAAATCCCAACCAGCAATAATGTTTCTTTTTCTCTTTTCCTTTTTGATAACACAAGGCAGAGATACAATTGAACTTATACTTTTATAATTGAAAAAAACATTTTGCTAGAATTTTTTCAGTTTTCGGTATTTAAGGTTTTTGGTGAAAAATACATTTTTTGCTTGGATTTTTTTCATTTTTCTTTATTTAAGGTTTTCGGTAGAAAATACATTTTTTGGTAGGATTTTTTTTTCAGTTTTGTTTCCGTGGAGTTTATGGGGAAGTGAGAGGGTGGAGGTTTTCTCCAGAATCCTTGCACTATTTTAGAATTTAACTTCTTCAATTTTTTGACTGTAGAGTAAATTCAAGTGAGAGTTGAACAGGGGCATGTCTGATTTACAAAGATACACTTTAACCCTTTATCTGGGAAAAAATTATAAAGCTATCTTTGTTTTTTTATTACAAAAATCAATTTTTTGTTATTTTAATTTATTAGTTAAAAAATAAGGTTATATTTGAATCTTTGATGACAGGAATGTGTACAAGTTTCCTTGTTGAAACTATTGATGATTCAGATTTAATTTTACCGTACGGGGCACCAGTTGTACCGTACGGGGCACCAGTCGAACCGTACGGGGTAGAAGCACCAGTTATACCAGAAGCCGTACCGGGCAAGGTAGAAGCCCCAGCTCCACCCTATGGTGCTAATGCCCCAATCGCAGATGTTTCAACTCCAGCTCCAAAAGGTAAAATAATGTTTTATATTTTCCCTTATTTTTAAGTAATTGTTTCTTAAACTCGTTATATTTACTTAAAGGACAGAGAACTCCCAGATTATATCGAACAAATATTGTTTGAATCCCTGAAATTCCCGAGTGTACACATAGCGCAAAGTGTGAACGCAATTCAGCTGATGATACTTGTGTCTCGGTCGAAAATACAGATCCTTTTAAGTCCAAAGCATTTTTTAAAATAAAAATTTATTTTCTGCAATTTCTATACAGTAAATATTATTATGTCTTCAATATAAAACAGCTGGCTAAGAGAGGGTTTAACAAATACCAGCACTTTTGTAGATTTATAAGTTTAAGTCCAACATCATTGATAAGTCAAATGTTTAGAGGTTTTACAATTGTGAATCAGACAGGCCTTTCTATAAATGAAGATTCACTTGAAATTACGCCTACAGTCCAGTAAAATTAAGATAAACAACATAATCCAAAATTTATCTGAAAACCATTATTGTTACAGGTACAGGTAAAAAGGGAACAGATTACCAGTATGATCTGTGGAGCGGGATCCTAAGAAAGGATCCAAACGCTAATCCTGGGAGCGGGGCACTAGCCGCTAACCAACAGATCCCCAGACCAGGAGTCAATAATAACAATAACCGTAACAATAACCGTAATAACCGTAATAACCGTAACAATCGTAACAATAATAACCGTAACTCTAACCGTATTTGCTCCACAAAATACTGCAACTTGATTTAAAATACGCAATGGATTAATGTTTTAATAAAGAGTCATATAGTTTAAATTATTTATACTGAATTAGTTTCTGAATATAAATAAATTTATATAATAACTTAGTATATTGATTTATACTAACATATTGTAAGATACATAAATCTCACTAGAACAATTTCCGTAGAAGGGGCTGGTTCATCAGGTGTACTGTCCCGCTTTGCCTAGTATAATCTGTATGGGTAATACTGTACACTAGCTCTAGCTGGTTAGATGTCGGCCTGGTTCTTGAAATGAACTGGACTTAACATCAATGAGAAGGGGATCATTCATTTGGTGTACTGTGCTGTCTCGGTTTGCCTTACATAGTCTAATTGTATTGTACAGCTTGCTCTAGCTGGTCAAAAGTGGGCTCTGTACTTGAAATAACAGGAGTTTGCAGTGAAGATATATCTATTTTGGAGTTGGCAGATTAACAAAAAATACATCACTTCCGCTGAAGCTGGAGATATTTTCCTGATAATCTTCTACAGTTCAGCCCAATATGATCTTAACTTGTCACAGCTTCCAGCTAAAATCTTCGGATAAAAAAAAACAGGGAATAAGAATAAAGGGAAAGGATATGGCGCTGGTCTAGCATGAGAAAGCCAGTCACACTGCTTTGCAGACATGTTCGGTAAACCTTACACACACTCTTTTGGTACAGACACACAACATGACTACAGTCAAGGAAATTGCAGAACAATGTTGTCAATTATAATTAAGCTTGAATAACGACTAGTTTATTGTAAACTTTAATCAAATTATATTCTTTGCATGAAAATTTGGCTTGTAGTGTTGACTTAAATTTACATAAATAATATATTACATGCATATTAAACTTATTTTTAAGTAAACAATTAACAATAAACAAATGTACTCTCCTAGACTGTACAAATACTATGTACTTCATATACCTACAGTACACACCTTCGGTTCGGTAAACTTTACACAAACTCTTTTGGTACTGACACACACACATGACGTTTCCGCCCCCTGTAAAAAACCCAGACCCTTTCTCCAACTTCAAACCTTAACACGATCGGTTTGTAGTATTAAGCATTCCGGCGTACTGTGGCTTGTTGATTTCCTCTCATACCAGCATAAGCCCTTTAGAACATTTCTTGTATCAGTTCAGTCTAGTCTGATAACTCCATTTCCTTGTCCGCTTTAGGTAGGGGATATATCGACAGTGTAGCTTCCCGTCTGAATATGGTAAAGACATGGGGTCTGACCCATGCTGGTATGAACAGTGGTGTTGTAGGCTAGACAGGCCGTGTATACTTTACAATTTAAAATGAAGATATATATATATTTTTGAGTGAAAAAATAGTCTACATAGTTAGCAATAAATAAACGCTACATTTAGCTTTTACAAAATATTTCAGACTTTTTGAGAGTTTATCCTTTTTTTAAATTTAAATTGAATGTATGTAATTAAGAAAAAAGTTAAAATTGTAATTTACGACCAAGTGCGGGTAAACGGCAGAAGTAACTATAAGTAACCTGGGCAAAGCTGGGTTCCAAGGCTAGTATTTAATAAATTGAAATCAAACAAAATTCTTATTTCTGGTAATTTTGAAAGTTTCTAAAAGACAGACCTCATATTAAATATGTTTAGATATTTGGTTTACGCAAGATGATGTTTGAAGTCTCATTCATTTTGGGAAACCCTGGCAATTATAAATAATAACCAAGATTGGATTTGAATACGAATTTCTAATACTTGTTATAAATAATTGAATAAACACTTTTACTAAAAGTAAATTCTATTATACATGAAAAGTAAAAAATGCAATATCAAGTTACTTTAAATACCTAGCATCATACCCCTCCCCCCTTTTCAAAAAAGTTTTTAAAAAGTATGTCGGAAAAATGCAAAAAAAATGTTTTAGAAAAATATTAAAACATCATCTTCTCTTTAAAATTTGATAATTTTCAGTTGTGGTTTTTCTTTGAAGTGAATTGCGCATTCTGTTTAAGAAACAATATGGCGGAAATCAAACAGAAATCTCGCCACAAAAACAATGATATCTTCCACATTTTTTATCAGAAAAAGGTTTAATGGGTACTGTTGTGAATCGGACATGTCCTGATTTTAAATGGAAGTTCACTCGAAATTACATCTACAATCCCTTAAATAAAATCTACATTTGGGGTTAATTGTGATAAGCTTGGACAGCTCAGGATGATATACTTTCTTCAACCATCAGCTATCAAAGGGACTGTAAGCGTAATTTAAAGTGATCCTACATGCAAAGATGGCAATTTTGTTTAATAAAGGTTTCTGTATTTCGCCGCATTTTAACAACGTCTTTGTGACTATCTGTGTAACTTATGTAGATTCACCACTTAGAATCATAGAGAATAGAATATATTTTAGAGGACTATATATTTCTTATAACTTATTACTAGAGGGTTCAGTACTAGAGTAAATATCGAAATCACACGTGAAGATGTTTATCAGTACTATGCCCCGTATCCGTTCTATCTCATTCTGTTGAATCTTGTGGAACTTGTTTAACGCGGCCAGGCATTGTCTTCAACATTACCCCCCCCCCCCC